TATATATATGGGGAATATGCCAGAGGTTAAAATAAACCTGAACTTTCCTCTAAATTTCCACTTTAAGTTGAAAACAATGATTGGTTAGTCACAAACATAATAAGTCCACAACCGCCCTCTTGTATTGAGGGTGGCAATTGTCTTTAAAATAAATATCACTTCTCCCTCCGTCTTCTCTCGTTTGCCTCATAAATATCGTTTCTAACTTGGTTTCTGTCTTGTGCAGGTTTTGGTGGAGGTGGCACGGAGTCTGGGGATAAAGTGCCATGTGCGAGGGACCATGCTGACTATTGAGGGGCCTCGCTTTTCCTCGCGGGCAGAAAGCCTGATGTTCCGCCAGTGGGGTGCTGATGTCATCAACATGACCACCGTGCCAGAGGTGGTCCTCGCCAAGGAGGCCGGCTTGTGCTATGCCAGCATCGCCATGGCAACAGACTACGACTGTTGGAAGGAACATGAGGAGGCGGTGAGTGGCGGGCTGGAGGTCCTAACTGCCGCTTTCATCACTTTGATGTTTCTAGTGTCCTTTATGTGCCTTGAGAGCCAGTGACAATGCATGATGCCCTCTTAATGCGCTGTGGTTGACATCATATCCTGCCCGATCTTTGTTCTATTGTACAGCAGTGAGTTCGGTGGAATTTTTATTTGTATCAGCCTCAAAATTATTTTTGTTTACCACCTTAATGTAGTTGTCAATATGTAGCCTTGAGCCTACCCCTTGTAGCCCTGAGCAACTTTTTGGGTAAAAGCGGTCGGCAGCTATCTGTTGCTACCGTTTGCCTCCAGGGCTAGAATGTTTGCTGTTGCCTGGCAGCAGTGTCAGCTGCTCTGGGCACTAATCTGATAATCGTAACCGTCCTGATGTTCGTTTGTACATATAAAACATGGTATTCTCAGAGCAGCCACAATGAGCAGTTTGGGAGGGTTAATACTGGGCCTATAAACTACTTGCATTACTGGATAATCTGGGCCGAGCATCAGTTCAGATCGACATTCCAGACAAATCTTGTCTGGAATGTACCAGACAAGAGGCGTGAAACAAGGGTGGATCGGCCTAAAACTCCTGTAGTGTTAGCTCCGCCTCCGCATATCAAATCTGCGGACTTCCCTGTTGTGGGTTAGTCAAGTTAATTTGTTGGTGTAGGACACTGCATAAACAGGTAACCTCAGTATGCTTTTCAATAATTTTAGAGATACATTTAAGAGGTGAGATGGGCAATACATAAAAATATTCCACAGCCACCTGTACGACACACACATACATGAAGTGCAATTCCTGGAACAGGAACACACACTCACTATTGAAAGCCTAAAAGAAACAAAAAGTTCACTTGTAAAGCTGCGGTTGCAGCAGAATTCAGGTCATCGGGCAGTTTTTTTTCTCTTCAAAAGCTTCCACGGCCGCAAAATGCACCTTAACCTGAGTTTTAGCTGCATTCAGGAAACTCATATTTGACGATCTTATTGCACTGTAGCTAGTGAGCTGGTCAGAACTAAGTGGCAGCAGAGGTGCCAGAGACCATGAAGAATACAAACCTTTCGTCATTCTCAAGACACTCGCCAGAAGCTCATAAAAAGCCCATCAACGATAAGATAGCTAGAAGCAGGCAGCCTTGGCCAGGGCACTTTATATCAGTGATAACCAAGGAAGGCCCCAGGAACATCTGATGGTCTGACATTCTTTGAAAATACTGCAAAAATAATTCCTTCAGATAAAATGATGTAGCTCCATTTGGGCCCTGTTGCCACTTGCATTTGTATGTCTTTTGGGTGATCTAATTACAAGTTGACAGGTCTAAGTACAGGTGTCAATGCATCCAAGAGGCATTTAGTGGAATCCAATAGCTCAGACCACAGTCAGAGGTGGTCTGGGCTGCATGTGGAAATGCAAATGTGTCCTGGATTCCAACGAAGAGCTACCTATTCTATTGACGCCCTCTGTGTACACAGAGCTACGTCCTTATTTATCCGGCAGTGGTGTCATGTAAAAGTGTGACAACAGACAAAACGGCCATTTCTCCTTTTTCTTTTCATTTCCAGGCAGGTTTCGGCTCTAGAGGCACGTTGCCACCTCGCGTTGGTTAAAAACAGCACCGCATTTGGTCTCTGCAAATGGAAATGTTGTGTGTTTGTTTGCATATAGAGTGTGGACGTGAGAGACACATTCAAATACCAGGCGTCAACTGACTTGTGATTGGATCACCCAAGACGCATGTTAATGCCAGGTGTGAACAAGATGCACAAATGTGGGCCACATGCGGTAATCAAACAATTATCGCATAATTATATCCAGACCTCCCAGGATGGCTCTGAGACAGTGGAAGGCCTGATGGGATTGTGACGCAGCTCATGTCATCTGTCGTCTCATACACAAACATGATGGCAGCCAGGTGGTCACATCTACAGTTTTGCAGAAGTGCAGGAACAAATAAACAAGTCTTGGCTTTTATAATGATAAAGGTTTTAATGACTTAAAATAAGATTTTGATGTTTCCGTTTTGTTAGAAGTTTAGCACAACACCAAAATATTGCATCATTAAGAGAATAAAAAGACCTCTAGACCAGCTTGTTTGCTCTGATGGGTTCTCCACAGAGCTCTTTACCATCTGTGCTCTGTAAGCAGACAAGAGTATCTGTGGCTTCGTACAGCTTCCGAGTGACCTCCCCTCTTTCAGGCGCTGTGGATAATTCAGTTGATAAACTGCGTGTGGGCGAGTTTTGGCTTATTTGTCACCAATCCAGCCCAGCTCAAACTCCACTTCCGAGTTCCTGCAGCTGACCTCTTCCCCCTCCTGTTGCAGAACGCTCGCCACATCCTTCCGCTCACCCACCCCACCACCCCGCTCCCTCCCAGCCTGATACTACCTCCTGGCCTCCTCCCCCCCCACCCCCCACCTCCCTCGGTCGGCTCGCCTGCCAGCCTCCGGTGGAAGCCCTGCCAGAGGAGGTTGAGTCACACTTGAGTCATCAGCTTCACTGTCTTCATCCTGGCAAACACCACAAAAACACGGACCTAGTCTTTGAGTGTGACATAAAAACAAAGCGCTCAAGGGAAGGGTTAATGAGGGTCACAGGAGGTAGACATGAACACAGGACGGAACTAATGTCGTAACTTACTGTACTGTGTACACTGTCTATCAGGCTGACTATGTTTTTTGGAAGGATTAAATATATACTCTAAACGCAGATATAGAACAATGTGTTATCTTGACCGTGTGACTGAGACCTCCATTTCAAATGTGATTAGAAAAGATAATTAGCCATGCTTATTGTGCTGTTTTGATTTCTATTTCTTCTCTTAGTGGTGTTAGTCAAGACTCAGGACCTCATTAATAACACATAATGAGTCACTGGTATAAAGAGCACAATTGGCTGTTACAAAAACAACATGCTGCTTCTCACATCTGCACTTAGACAGATTGTTTCTTTAAATTTGACAGCTTTTTCTGTGGCTTAGTCGCAGGATCTGTTATAACTCGAGGTTAAACTTTCTTTGACAGCTGCTCACTCTGCTGCCCAGGACTGAGCTTGAACTTGTCCTAGTGCACATGCATTATAGTGTGTTTGTAGAGTCTAAAATAGAACTTTAAAGGGTGATTATTTAGCAGTGGGTGTAACGGTACCCAAAATACACAATTGCGTAAATACATTTTTTCCCCATTTTTTTTTTTTTCAATAATTGAAGATACTGTGACGAATTGACCGTAATTCTTATTGTAGCATATGAGGCACACAAATGCAAAAGTAAGAAAGGACTCATTTTATTTCTATAAAGTATAAAATAATAAATGTCCACTTACGTAAGTGCAAGACAAGTATCGCTGCTTTTCTCTCTCTCTTTTGTTTTGTTCTTTTCTTTTCTGTCAACAGAGGAAACAGCCCCCTTGTTATTTTTCTATTAATTGGAACAGTACTGTGTTCAGTGTGAGTTCCAAATTATGGTCCATCAATTGACCTGTACAGTGTGTGCAGAGAATTCTCAGACTGTGGCTGCACAGAAAGGCGAATTAGGACATTAACTCAGGCAGTGTGAGTTAACACATCGTACAATAAAGTTGGTACAGAATCTGTGCAGCTTTTAAGGTTAACCCTGCTAACATGTATTAACGGATGGACAACAACGAGTGCGCAGCCGAAACATTTCAGATGAAGCTTGCGCTCCCTTTTTTTATTTTACAAGTATGTCGACATGAATAAACTTTGCACAGTAACGGTCCGACATGAATACATGTATTGTTCCTGTTATTCAGTAGCGTCAGTCTGTTTTCAGTGGAGTTGCCTTCTAACATCATGTTCTGTTTTTACTTGGTTTTGTTGTCTAAAAGTGTTGCCTAGCAAATTTGTATTAAAAACCAACACAATTTATAAAGTTATTTTACAATATTTGGTATCTTTAATGAGTTTTTTAAACTCTACATGCTTTAGCTCTTTCTTTACATATGACTCTGATATTCATTTTAATATTGCAGCCATTTAACGATATTGCTTGGACCTAATAATATTTTTTCTGGTGATAATAAACCAGTGCTATTAGGATATTCACATCAAGATTGCTGCTTCACCAGTGAGTTTCCCCTCCAGTTAAAGGAAAGGCTGCTGTTGTATTTTCATGTCAGAAAATCCTAAAAAGGGGCCAAACCATGTCTTCAAAATACGGTGTGCTTGAGACTACAGATGGCTTCAGCCATTGACAAAGTATTGACACAATAAACTGATTGTTTTTGTTTCAAATTGTTGAAAATAAGTGTAAACAATATCACCAAATTTATTCCAGAACTTAATTGAGAGCCCTCCTGCATGTAAAATCTGAAAATGATTTAATAGGTTGGTGTCTGTCTCTACATCCTGCACTGCTGCCAGAAAGTCAATCGAGGTGTTTTGGTTTCATGCACTCTTCTTCACAGTGCAGACATTTTCTGTAGAGCAAATAAGGATACATGTCAAGATCATTATTTGGGAAACACACAATTACTGTGACATTAACAGGATGTGAAATTTGCACCACTGTAACTGATTCCTCTCACATGGCTGTGTTTTTTTTTTTGTTTTGTTTCTTCCTCGTCCCAGGTCTGTGTTGACAATGTGCTGAAGACGATGAAGGAGAATGCCAACAAAGCTAGCAGTATCCTGCTCACTGCAATACCCCAGATTAGTCAGATGGACTGGGCTCAGACAATGAAGACCTTGAAAGTAAGCTGTCAACTTTATGATGATTCATTTCCACTCAGCAAGACTTTGGAGAAGTTATGAAAGAGGGTCTGTGTACCTTCTAGTTGACTATCTGGAAGTGACATCTCATTTATTATGTTTTCAGTTTCTTCTTAAATGTTGCTTCAAAAGAACAATCGTACCATATGGTGCATGATCCCTGGGAAAACACCACCTGTTTATAAAAGCGATTTCTACTATGAACCACTTCCATTTCCGAGGTTGACTCAGACGGTGTGACACATCGCACTGTGCTGCACCTAGACATGCACCATGACCGATACATGTGAAGGTTTTTTTGTAACTTCACGTTTGAAAAACACTGAATGGTGTACACGCACATTCTTCGCATCTATGTACAACAAGTTTTGAAGATGCTTGTGGTGCTTTGAATTTGCAGTAACGTAAATTGTTCAATTTCAATTCAAAATGTACCTTCCGTTTATTAGAAGTACCTCCTCTTGGGGGCGCCGTGATAGCTCAACTGGTTGAGCTGGCGACCTAACGTACAGAGGCTGTGGTCCCTGACGCAGCGGCCGTGGGTTTGAGTCCCGCTCATGGCCCTTTCCTTTAAGTCCCATTCTTCTCCCCCTCTTTCCTGTCTCTGTCTCGACTGTCCTCTATCTAATAAAGGCAAAAAGGTCAAGAAAATAACTTTAAAATAAAAAAAAAAACAAAAAAAACAAACCCTCCTCTTTGGAAAAAATGACAAATAACCTCCCTAGTCTTTCACTTATTTAATTTAAATTAAATTTTAATTATCATGATAAGCACTTCTGGTATGTCTCATGTTTTCCTCTCCGATTTGCTAAAGAAAATTGAGTTACCTCAGTGTCATGTTAAAAAAAACAGCTACACAACTTTGCCATTGCTAAACGTACTCGCTGTTGCTTTATACTGTTTGCACGACATCTATGGAAATAAAGCTGTTTTCTTCCTTCTGTTACAGTCAATGGCACAGTCTTCAGTAATGCTACCAAAGCACTAAGCGTGCTGAAAACAATCGAGTAGAAAAGGATAAGGATACCAGACACCGCCCGCACAAACTCCCGACACAGACAACGGACTCAGCTTTGCCTGTGGATTCGTCATCAGTGAATCACAAGAAAGTGCCTCACATAAATAATGCACACGCTGTGTTTTCAGCTGGATTTTCAGCGTTTTGTCTCGACTCAAAATACACATATAACTCCTCTTCATCCTGACTCACTTATTTTCTCTGGAAACTGTTACTGTCATCTTGTCACACGTTTGGGTAAAAACGATAACAAACAAAAAAAGATCAACAAAAGATTTTAAGTCGTAAGATTATAACTAGATATTTTGTGGCTTTATATTTTTTGTGGTCTGTAAAGATTTCAAATTTATATATTTGTTGCCTGTAAACCATTGGTGTCTTCACTTCTGTTATTACAGGATATAATAAAAAATAAATTTAAAATAAAAATGCTTTAGCACATGAATACTTTCTTACTGCCTTAGTTGCAACACCAACTTTTACTTTTTAAAGCTGATGTCTTGAACATATTTGAAGACGATATTGAAGTCAAACCTTTTAAATGCCTGTATACTCTTCTATAATAAGTCTTGTTAATAATGGGAATGTTTCTGTCTTTGCTTGCCGGGGCCCCTTTTTATATTTTGTGGAATGCTTTCATTTGTATTTCCACTTCCTGACTGTTGGGTTATTATAAACAGCATTTAATTTAGGATAGAATCTGCACTTGTACATGCAAACCCTTTTCCAGCTTTAATTAGATAATCTAACCAACAGCTTTTCAAAAACAGGTACTGACTGCATTTACTGACACACCTGGAAATGTTTGATATACTGTAAGATTTTGTCATGTTATGAAATGAGCATTTTTGTAAGTGTTTGGCCTTTTGTTACTACTCATGTTAGATCAGTATTCATTCCGTTCACCTTTTTTTGTTTCTGTCTGCATTTGCTGGACTTGAACGTCGTCACGACACACATTGCACAGAACATGTAGCCTCCTTGTATTGCATTTTCTTTCAACAATAATACATTATCGGAAATGCTCTCAAAAAAAAGTGTTCAATGAGTTGAGGTCATGCTTAGACAAGTTAATAAACAATAAAATCTGGAATAACTTGGACTGATTTAATGCATCTTATTTTGCAATTACAGATTTTAAAAAAAGTTTTGGTCACACTGAATGTTCCGTAAATTGCAGCGCAATTCAGAAGTACATTTCTGGACTTGATGCATGAGTGTTTGCAGGGAATCAATTTTGCATCGACTTTATGCTATGATTCTCTCTCCTCTTGACATATGATGAACTAAATTGATTGTTGGAAGAAGCAGCTGGCCGTGCTCGTGTTAAAATAGACCAATAAAGCTGAATTCCGGACCCAAGGGGGATTTTCTGTGCGCGATCAAACATCCCTTTAGAGCCACAAAACCTATTTATCTGAAACTGAACTGTTGTGAAACCAAAATGCATGGCCTACTTTGTTAAGCATGTTCATATTTTCAGAATGTTTTCTCTGTATTTAAAAAAAAAAGAAAAAAAAAAGAAAACAGCAACATGGCAAATAACTATGGCAGGCTGTTCAGTGGTACAAACGGGAAAAGGAATTTATAGACATATGTATACGACACAAAAGTCTAGCAGTGGACTCCCACCTTCAGACAAAATCAACACTTTTCACTGAACATGAATCATTAAATAAATTGACTGCATCAGCCTTGACCTTACTGCCGCGTTTAACAATGGAGTCGACTGAGCCTGTCATCTGCCACGTGCTGTTAGGAAAAACTATTTGGATGTATGCGATCTGTTTAAAAACCTGTTTAGAAAAAGCAAATCCAGGGAGAAGCCTTCCAAATAAAGTTGAAGTTGTTGCCCTGAGGTTATTGTACACATTGTTCACTTGGCGTTGCTACAGGCTTATTTTTCCAACACTCTTCTCTCAAATAACTGTATTCAAATGCCAAAGTCAAACCATTGCTTGATTCTCCAAAGTACGCCAACTTTCAGACAGAACATCAAGTACGGTCTCATCACCTTAAACACATAAACTTTCTGAAATGAAAGTTTATTAAAGTGCAAAATATCCCAGATCTGCATATCATTTTTGTACAAACAGGAAGTGGGACTCTGCAGCTGAGAGATAGAACGCTTACAGAATAGTGCATCAGTTAAACACTAATGTTCCAATGTGCAAAACATTTTCAATGGCTTTTACGTTATTTGGTTAAATATTGAACATGGATAGGCATTTAAAAAAAAAAAAGATCAGATTGTCACAAAAACCAAACAATCCTAATTGAAAAATACAACACAAACGCTCCTGTAAACTGTAACCTGCACCATGATTATTAGGTGGGAGTTAAAACTGCAGCAACAAAAAAAACGTCTATCAACAACAGCAATGGCGTTGTAGGATATTTGTCACACCAGCGTCCCTATACTCACCCACAACCCCGATTTCGTTAAGAATAAAAATAATGTTAGGAGTTCAGCAAACAACGGTCAAATAAATAAAAATGCATTTAACATCAAAACTACCAATGCGTAAATTTAGGCTGCAGGCCTCTCCAGGCCCCGCTCCTCTCCAGCGTCTCCACTCAGAACCAGCAGCAGCAAATAAAAATAAGACATATCACAGCCTTTTCTATTACTTTTTTTTTTTTTTTTTAAAGAGTCTCTAAGAAAGCGACAACATCTGTATGTCCGTTCTGTGCAGCCAAATCGATAGGCAGACGGCCTGCTTTGTCCCTGGCCTGCGGGTCAGCCATGAATTTCACCAGCAGACGCACGGTGTCCACAAAGCCCGTCCTGGACGCGTCGTGCAGCGGCGTGGAGCCGGTGGTGCCGTCCGCCACGTTGGGATCCGCTCCGTGCTCCAGCAACACCTGAGCCACCGGAGAGCTGCCCATCATCATCACCTTCACACCGGCAAGGAGCGTAAATTGAATTAGATGAGCACACTAAGGTGATTAAAAACACAATGTGTGAAACCCCCACGAACACAAAAATAAGCGCATTTGGGTAATTATCTTTGCTTTACATGCAGGTATTTGTTTTTCCTTTATCGGTGTTTAATTGCTTTATTATTATTTTTTGGGGGGGAAATATACAATTACAAGAAGAGCCTCGAGAGTCCGGCTGTGGGCCTGTCATCAGAAATACAGATATTTTTCCTTGGCGTGAATAAATGTGTTTGAGAGGAAACGAGCCGCTTGAAAGCTTCTATTCAGCTTCTAAACAAAAGAGCGTCTGCAAAAAAGCTCCACAAAAATAATTAGTTGAAATAAGACTAAACGAGAAAAGAAGACTGGATGTTTCTCCAAATGGCTTGACCACTAAGAGGTGACACAAAGGAAGCAGAAGTTCAGGCTTAAAGGCAAAATAAACAGAAAAATATGGATGTGATTACGCGCTGTGGACAGTCATCACATTTGGAGCTGCCGTGCCGTTCACCCTGCTGGAATATCTGTTTAAGTGATAAGGAGCATGTGTCATCTGGATATTTTATGGCGTTGTAGAGGGTAATTACTATATTACAAGATCATGTTCACTGTGTTTAATCTTTACTTTGCTTGATATGGTGTTATAAAGTAATAGAAACTAAGTAATCAGTATCCAACTCGGGCAGCCAAGGCTAATTACAATCTTACAGTTTCGTTTTATTTGCAGCTTAAACTATTACACAAATCCTAAATGAGATCTGCATTTTTTTCCCCCCTCAATAAAAACAGGCAGACTTAAAGTCCACGATGACTCGCGCGTCATTTGGAGAAGCGTTACTTTTTCAAAACTTGGGCCGAAAAAAACCCCAAACAAACCCAAAATAAAACAGGCCATCTTCAATTCCCCTGGTTGAGAAACTCTCTGCTGTGTGTGGGAAAAAAAAAAAGGCGCTCAGCAATCTCCCGCTGCTTGTCATCTGAACTTAACCCATTTCAAGTGTCGGTACGTTTCGTGGCTCCACTGACCTGCAGCGCGGTTCGCCCGAAACGGTTCACTCCGTTAACCGAAGCGCCTGCCAGCAGAAGATCCTCCACATCCGCCTTGTTTCCCTTGGCCGCTGCGGCTGTCAGATCATCCTGGAGAGACATCGCCGGCCGATGGATCCTCCGAGCCGGGCGCACTGCGCTGACAGGTAGCGCGGTGATGCTTAATTTCGAGGAGGAACAACAACAACCCGCCGCAGCGCTCCCGTCGAATAAACCTTTGAGTCTTTTGTGATTGTTCTCCGCCGTCTCCCCCCCACCGGGGCTGCTCACTGTGTCCGAGCCGCCGGCTTCTGCTCGGGTCGGGCGAGTGAACGGAGCATCGCCTGTCCAGCGGCTCAGTCGGTCGGTGTGTGTCTGGACTTGTTTTGAATGGGTGACGTCACGAGCGTTGCTGCAGTGGCGCGATTGTGCGCATGCGCAGCTCCAGCTGGATTATTATTTTTTTTGACAGAAGCAGAAGCGTCACATTTAGTTTCTGTTTCCTCGATCCTGCTTGCGGGATAAACGAGGCCAAAGTGTTGTCACGCGTTGTGAAGCCCCACGAAATCAAATCAGTTTTGTGGGCGGTTGAAGTTTTAAATTAAAAACGCGGCTGCCAGTGGATGAAAGCAACTAGGTAGGCTACATTTCCTACTTTTCTGTGGGGAGGCCGAGGCTGAGACATTTCTTTGAAAAGTTTTTTTTCTCCTCCACTACATTTTTGGATAACTTTTCACACAAACAAAATATAATCCACCAACGATTTATGATGTGTTAAAGGTGACAAAAAGGCTTCATTCATCCAGGAATGGAATTCACAAGCTTAGCAGCTGCATTTGTAGTAATTATTAGCTTCCCCAGCTGCAGCATTAAAGGATTGTTCTAAAAGTTCATTCTGGGTGAATGAGCAATCTCACCGTAGGGCTTTTAAACAGCAGTGTTGGAGCTTTTAATTATATCACATTATCGTCAATCAATAAAAGGAGTCCAGAAATGTACAGATTCCTCACTGTACTTGAATCCAACAAAAGGCATTAATGTGCCTACAAAAAGAAAAGGAAATTTGAGGATGTGTAGTTTTATGGCAACTGGTGAAGACCATGGGATGTGATCCAAAGGCCCACAGCAACTGTTAGGTGGATGTTAGAGTGAAGTTATTTTTTTGTGGAGCTTTTGTGTGACAGCTACCTGTAAAGAGATCAGTAGGCTTCCTGTTAAATGACTTTCATAGCCAAATGACAAGACAACAGAAATAACATCGTGGTACATACTGTAGGCAGCTGGGAGCATTTGCCTGGGACTTGGCTGGGCTTGTTGTCTGCCCCTGCACACACAACTCTGACAAATATGATGCAGTGACTGATTTAGGTTATCTGTGACAAACTGAAACAAACACAAGTATATATGAAGAGTTCATTTGCAAAAATAGATAACTCCATTTTTGTAGGTTTTCAGAAAACTTATTTATTTGTTGTTTGCTTGAGATAAAATCAATCAAACTGAAATTGAGTGGATTTGACTCAGTAGAAATGACAAAAATAGAGACAACTTAAGTTTGATTGATATTGTCTCACGTAGACGATGGAAAAGTGGGTTTTCTGAAGGTTTGTGAAGATGGAGTTATCTGTTTTTGCAAATGAACACTTTATACATATATAAGAAAATGGGTCAGTTTTTCCTGAGCAAGCTGATCTGATTTTTGTTAACGAGGCAATGGAAAAAAAAAAGAATCACCTCAACAGAGGCCTTCCACAAAATGACTGGGATGTCCATCTGTCTCCATGAAGTCAGACAGCAGTCAGTGTGTGTAAACAATAGCGGCTATATATGTTAAAATAAGCAACAAATGTGTGTCTTAGTAATGGCCGTTGTTGTCATAGTGAAACTATAATGTCCGTTGTTTAACCAGCTAAACCACGATGTCGAGCTCAAACGGTATTTTTAAAAATGTAATGGAAGATAGACGACCACACAATCGCTGTGTGCTCGGCATGTGTCAGGAATGTAACTGGTGAAAACTGGATAGAATGAATGGTATTTATTGAATAATGGTTGCTAGATATACCTCTGTAGTACAATAAAAGACATCACATCCTCCATAAGGTTGAAGCTGTGACACTGGGCTGAGACTGATTAAGTTTACTCTTGAAATGTGGTTCTTATTTTTCAATTAAACAGGATAACACACAGCTCAGGGTTCGTTTGCAGGTTTTTTTTTTAGAGGCAAACCTGCACTGGCCTGCGTATTTGTAGCCTGTGTGCCCTCAGCATGGGCAGTGTGTGTGTGCGGTGTGTACTTCTGTCAAGTCTCAAGCTGCTCATTATCTTATCTTAGCTGGGGTTTCTGAGGAAGAGGGCAAATTTTGAAACTGTCTTTCAAAGATACAGCAACTCTTGTGATTAAATGTACTTCTGATGAATAGTTTTTCGGGTGTTGATTAGTCAGAGCGGTTGCGAGCGGTCGTGGTTCCTGATTTTGTTTTCTGAATGAATAGAACACTTTTATAAAATAAAATCAGGAACCACGAATGTTCGCAACCACACTGACTAATCAACACTCGAAAACTATTCATCAGAGCAGTGCTGCATTCAGGGTGATTATATAGTGACGCAAATTAAAACTGAAAAATGTAAGTTATATTTTTAAGCTGAAGTAGTGACTCAGACTGTCGTCAAAGTCAGTGTCAGGTCAAGCACCGGCTATTTGTACAGCACATTGAAAACAACAGCCGTGTAAGCAGCTCCTCAGTAGACAAATAAGAAGTTTAAATATTAGGATTTAGACACTGCAGTGTTATTCGTAATGTTAATTTACCAGAGTAATTTAAATGTCATGGCTAAAACCCTACAAAATTATATAAAATACTAATTGTTGTGACTAAACTAAATGATAAGGTTAGGACACTACAGTATTATTAATAATAATTAGAATTACATACCTGCTCTCTGCCTCACCTGGTTGGGGTTAAAGAGGAGAGAAAAGGAAAGCAAAGACTGGATCGAATGGTGGGACTAGTACGGTCGTCCTCAAATGTATTCATACACTTCCATTAAAGAAAAGGCAAAATTCACAAGAGTCACTTAAATAACTAGAAACTGAAAAAGTAATAATGAATAATAATAAAAAAAAGCTAAACTGTAATTTAGTGAAATAAGACATTGCTTCTGAATTGTGGTTGAAAAGAATAATAAAAAAAAACTGTCCTGGATAAATTAGAGCACTTTGCTGATGAGCAGTGGACCAAAATCTAAATACCTGTCAACAGGTGCAGAAGTCTGACTGAGAGTTACAGAAAACACTTAATTGCAGTGATTGGCTCAAAGGGTTGTTCAATAAAATATTAGTTTGCTGGTCCCATCATGCTTGTTTGCTTTTTTTTAAATTTTTTTATTTATTTATTTACTATTTCTGTTGAACCACAATTCAAAAGCAATGTCATGATTTTCATTTTTTTTTTTTATTTATTATTACTTTTGTTAATTTCAGCTTATATCAGTGGCAAAATTTTTTTTTCTTCTATAATGGGAGGGTATGAATAAATTTAAGGACGACTGTAGCTGCAGAGCCAGAAATATAAGCAGTATGTAATTACTCAGTGTTAGGAAATATATCAATTTGAAATTTAAAAAAAAAGCAAAAAAAAAGCTTAGAAACATTTTCTTTAGGATTTGGTAGTTACTGTATTGCTTTGGTAAAAAGTAAAAAAAAAAGACTTATTTTAAGAGAACACATTAACCACATTAAACCATCAGTGAGGGAAGCAATAAAACAACCGTGTAGAAAAACTCAATTGCATGTAAACGTGATGCAGTCAAAATCATGCAAGAAGTACAGAAGTTACATCAGATACAGTTACTTGAAAGTGTCAAGTGTATTATTATTTTGCTGCAGAATGCCTTCGTCAAAGTTATGTTATATATTATTTTACATGCTGATGTTGTCGCTGGTCAAGAAGACCAGATGGAGCTTTTTTTTTTTTTTTTTTTTTAAATGCTGCTGGGTAATTCACAATAAATACAAATCTCATTTTTATATGATGATCTGACACTTTGTATGCAAAAGTTCTACATCTTGTAAAGTGAATAAAAGTAAATGCAACTTCAACTTCACCAAAAAGAAAAGATTCTTCATAAGTTAATGCGTGAAGCCACGTCTTGATTTCTATAGTTTTCCTTAACTGACATTTTAATACCAAAAGCACTTTGATATCTTTTTTTACAGCCCTGTTTTGTAGCCTCAGTTAGCTCCTCTGTCGGTTGCTCAGAGGAGCTCGTGTTTGTCGAGTGTCAAAATGATCTGATCTCTGAATTGTCATAAGCTGACAATTTCCCCAAGACAAAAAGCTGGTGGTCACACGTTTGTACACACCACAGTTGAAAAAAAAAAAAAAAATAGGAGGAGGATTCAGGAAATAATATGTAGCATTGTATCAACATTTACATATAGTTTTATTGTTTTTGTTCCAGGGGTTGTATTTACATCTCAGCATTAAAAAAAAAAAATCAATAAAATAATAATAAAATAAAATTAGAATTAATAACAAGAAATAAATATTTGTAGTAAAACTTTATTTTACTATGTTTACCTTTAAAATATGCAGAATGAATTCAACTAAACTGTCATTTCTTGAATGAATTTTTAGCCTAATGTCCAAAGTTGGATAAAAACATCCTATCTGCCATCTAACTACTGGCTTCTGCCCTTTGGTGTCAGAGGATCAGAATGTGTGATGCTACGTGAGCCTTTGAACGATGTGGTTAGTATGAAACACTGAAGGTTGATGTGTTCTCATCTTGTGTCACAAAGTCCTTCCGATGTGTGTGTACGTGTGTTTCTGTTTCATGTGTAGTTTATTTTCTTCTGAATAGCCGCAAAGTTGTAGTGTAAAATAGCACAAAATAGAAAAATATGAGCGTGTATAGGAAGCAGTCAGATGATTATTGATTACAACGTGACTTCGTAGCTCATCAGCACCACGTTTGATTCGTTGTGATGTAGCTGCAGCTGTGGGACTGTTGGGGTCACCCGGCGGGGAAGTCAGCAGTAAAACAACCCGTGTCAATACTCTTAATTCTCCGTTTGTCTGTGTAAATGTGAGCAGACCTGCGTGGAATGTGTGTTCGTCTTGAGGTTGAGCCTGTAGCGATGGAGGCTGAGTGTGGGTGGAGGTGTGTTGGCCTGGAAGTTCCCCTGTCTGTGTGCCTGCTCATATTTGTGTGTGCGATCGGTGTTAGAAAAAAAAAAAAGAAAGAGGACACTGAATGATTGCAGCCTTTTGTGCTCTGTTTAAAGTATGGGAAAGCAAACAGGTCACAGTTTTACCCAGTGGAAAAAAAAAAGAGGGGACAATTAAAGCTTGCTTTTAATA